GAGACAGGGTTTCTCTGTGTAGCCCTGGCTGTCCTGGAACTCACTCTGTAGACCAGGCTGGCCTTGAACTCAGAAATCCACCTGCCTTTGCCTCCCAAGTGCTGGAATTAAATGCGTGTGCCGCCACTGCCCGGCTCTTTCTTTCTTTCAAGGGAAGAGCATGAACACAGTCCCCCACTACCATAAATTATGCTGCCAAGCTTCCCCCATTTCAGGAAGTTGCAGGTGACAACACATCTGAAGGATAAACCTTGCCCTGGGAAAATCACCTTCGAGGTAACCATGGTATCTCCCTGCCAGGTAAGTATCAGTGTTCGTTTTTCAAGAGGAACAGTCACAGAGAAAAGCACTATTTCAGTTTAGGGCAGGGCCACATATGGCAACTATTTTTCCTACCAGAAAAGAATTCCTTGTCTCCCTACCTGTCCTGCTTGCTGAAGCCAATGAGAGCAGGCTCAGGAGAGACTGGGTCCCTGCTGGGTGGCAGATGGGAGGGGCTGTGACAGAAACCTAGAGAGCTTCATGAGAGGCCCCAGCACGACAACCCACAGTTCCAGGATGACAGGCTGTGTTTGTCTCTGGTGCTCAGTGGAGAGGAAAATGGCAAACCAACTTCAAAGCCTGGCAGAGTCTTCCACTTCCACTGCCAGTGGTGCCCAACCCACCCAGCCTGCAGGAACCTCCTACTCAGGGAGGCCCTGTAGCTCTCACTGAAGGCCAACATTTGCAAGGCCGCAGGAGTTCCTGACCAGAGGGGTTGGCGCATAGGTGGCTGTGTATACTGAGCTATGAAGAGGCCCACAGCTCAGGAGTATGGCAGAGTACAGGCAGCTAAGGAGGGCCTCCTGACCACTAAGCAAGATCATTATGTCTTTAACAAATTCCTTCTCAGAGAGTGTCGTGGGATGGGCCCAACACTGAGTTACAGCATTGGCCAGCAATTCTTATCCTTGTGCCTGTGGGCCTGGCCACTCCTATGGTCCAGGTTTGGCTTTGGGCCTGGTACATGCAGCATACAGCATGCATGGAATGGGTACTTGTCCAGATAAGCAGCTTCCTGAAATGGAGTCTGCCAATGTCACAGATGCAGGGAACATGGTGGAGTGGAAATCCTTAGCTCCCCATCCAGCTCCCAAGTGAATTGTGAGTGCTGGTCTAGGCTTTCAAAGCTATGAAGTAAAGCTAAAACCTATCCCAGCATTCTAGGCCCCAGACCAGCCCTGGCCTCTTCCCATCCTAACTAGGAGTAGGCAGCTGAAAGTCTCTTGCCATCTCCTTACCTGCCTTAGCAAGGTGGGTAGGGTCATAGGGAAAGCCCAGGGTACAGGGACGGGTGTTCTTCTGATACCACAGAATAGATTATAATACCCTGAGGTCCAGGCCATAGAAACTCCCCAAATAGACATATTGCCTGTTCAGGGACAAGAGCAGGAATCCCCAGGTCAGGCCTGAGGATACTGGCTTGAGAGCATCTCAAGTGAGTGCCTCTCACCTGCAGGTGCTTGAAGTCTGAGGGAATTGTCATTTAAATATCATTTAAATCCCATTAGCTAATCCTGATCTGATCCCATTTCACAGGGAAGGTGCTGAAGCCCAAAATCTCAAATTGGACAAGGCCCGGGACTGTGGCTTTGTTTTGGTTCTTGTGACAAGCTCTGTGCCTTTCCTGGTCAGCCTCTGCTCTCAGAACCCCAGGAAACCAGCCTGAGCTGGTTTAGCCCTGGGCCATGAGAGAGCTCAGCTCTCTGGTCATGGCATGCATATTACCAGCCTGACAGATCCCAGGCCAAGAACCACACCCGCTTCTGCAGGCTCAAGCAGGCAGGCACCCTGCACCTTACTCAGCGTCCTAAAGCAAAGGGCGTTTGGCTGCAGGCCATTCTACCATGGCCAGCGGGTGTGCAGTAAGCATGATTCAGAGGGAAACAGACAGCAGTTCTCAGAATCAGAGTTTGGCTGTAGGGCATGAGAGTGTGTGCAACAAGTGTATGCCTGTTTGCCCGTGAGGCCTACTGACCTCCCTGGGTGACTGCGTAAAGTTATCAAGCCAATGCTGTTCCTGGAAGCCAGCTAGCAAAAATCACTCAGGTATATCTGGAACCTCTATGGCCAGCTCACATGGACCAAGGAATTCTCCCTAAATCCTGAGGGCAGCAGTTACTTCATGGAGCCACAGGGAGTTCAATCACTTAGTGCTAGAACCAAGTCAGTTCTGGGGAAGAAGAAAAAGAGCAGAGGGAACAGCATCTGGGTACTCGTGACATCCCCATCCGGAAGTCCAGCTTGCTTTCTGTTTTATTCCTACTGTTCCTGGAGTTCATAAGTGGGGGTGGGCACTGACACTAAGCACAAGTCCCCCCCATGTGACCCTGCACCTGTACTTTGCTTTACAGAACAGAAAAGTGAGTCAAGAAATATAATTTGGGACTCAGCAGTTAAGAGCACTGGCTGCTCTTCCAGAGGACTCGGGTTCAATCCCTGGCACCCACATGAGAGCTCACAACTCTGTAACTCCAATTCCAGGGGAGCTGACACCCTCACACAGACATCCAGGCAAATTACCAATGTACATAAAATGAATAAATCATTAAAATAGAAGTATAATTTGCTCGGGAGGCTCAGGACCTTGAATCATGGCAGGAGGCAGCAACCTTTCTCTGGGCTGAGGGGCGGTGAGGGGGTGGCAAGTGGGCATGGAATAGTCCCACAGTTCCTAGGCACCCCCCACATAGGACCATCTCCAGCCCTTAAAGGCCCAAATAGCACTACTGGAGGACTGCAAAGGCCTACTGGGTACTCTACTCTCCGAGGAGGACGCTAAGGTTCAAAGAGCCCCTTTTCTCACTCTCCAGACACCTCCACACTTTCACCACATCTGGCATACAAAGGACATTTTGATCAATGATTTGCCATCCTCCCTGGTCTGTCTGTCTGTCTGTACCTACCTAACAGTCTCTTCCCAGCTCAGAGAGTCCTTTTCCCATAAGTCTTCCTTTTCCCAGGCTCTAGGCTCCCCACTCCTCTGCCCAGGCTGCCCACTTCCTCTGCCAAGCAGGGTTATAAAAGAGCCATACATGTCTGTGCCCAGGGAATCTGGGAGGATATGAACCAGCCAGATGATGGCAGGATACGGTCTGACCCTTGGTCCCCACAATGGAGCTTTGAGGACAGAACTCACAATGATCAGTCTTTGTGGACACAGGTGTTTGCCCACAGGACCCATGCAGGCAGGAACCTGGACGTCTGCCCTGTGCCCCAGGCCTCTCCAGGCCTGGCCTTGCCCCACCCCAACCACAAGACAAAATGGCCTGTTGTCCCTGTGTCTGACCAGGACACACACGGAGGAAGCACCCTCAGCATCTGAGTATCAGCTACTCACCACTGGCGGACTGTGGGCACTCATCCCACCTTGGGTAGAAAGTGTTTGCCAATCCTCATGTTACAGTTGTAATGGAGGCACAGCAGGAGGAAACGCCCGATGAATATCATGTAGTTGGATTTGAACCCAAGCCCCCCAGCCTGAGTTTATGCTCTTCTGTCTGCCCTTCTACGACTAAAGCAGGTCATTTTGATTCCCTGGACCTCTTGGATTTCTGTAGGCCTACATATGCACATGCATCCATCTGGGGACAAAAGGATACTGGGGCTGACTTAGCTCCTCACCTCCTCTATCCATGTGAAAGGAAGGCAGCCCTGGAGTCAGTCCTCCTTCCTTCTGTCCTTCCTAGCCCAGTCTCCTGAGTGGGTTTCTGTATAACTCTGTGGGGGGCCTCCCTGAAAGGCTAGCCTCCCTTTCTGCTCCTCTCCTGACAGATGAACATGCCCATCCGATTTTGTCTACCCCTGTAGTTTGCCCCCTCTGCCAGGGTGTGTCTCCACCCAGAAGGCAGAGCCAGGTCCCAAAGAGGCAGAGAGGGCCTGGGAAAGGAGGTGGACAGACTTGTGGTTCACATCTCCTTAGAGCCCCCCCCCCAGGCCCCAGGAGTGGAGAGCTAAATCTGGGGCCCTAGGCTGGGTTTCCCTGCCAGGGAGAGAACACAGTGGTCCCGAAGGGACCGAAGCCAATGTGCACAACACTCACCTAGGTCACACAGAGTTGACTTGAGTCTATGTTCTTGCTCCCAGCCCAGCAACTAACTCCTGGACCCATTCTGTTGTGAGACAGTTCTGTGCATCTCACCGTTGATCCAGCAGGTGATATTTCCAGAGCCCCTTCAGGTGGGATTTAGCATCCTTAATAGTCACATGTAGTAACTCCCGAGGTCCCACACTGTGTAAAGCAAGGGGGCCGGGGGGCGGTTCTCAGGAGCTCTATTTGGAGTCACCTGACTAGGAGACACAGAACTACCTGTGTCAAGGAATGACCAAACAGAAAGGCAGAGAGAAAACAGGAGCTGTGCAGGGTCATGGGAGGTGGCAGAGGGAGTTGGTTCCAACAGAGCTCTCAACCTATTAACAGCCAAGTCCCAGAGCCACAGAAGGGTGGAGGTGGAAACCCATATGTCCGCTAACCTACAACTCTCTGAACACTCTTCTAAATTCTCAGAGACTCACTCCTCCTCAAAAATCTCCAAACTCCCCACACCCAGTCAGTCATTCCCGCGTCAGTGTGAATCAGCACTAACAGGTGGCTTTTCTCTTAAACTTCATGGAGCCTCTGAAGGAAGAAAAGTTTGGAGGGAATGGAAGCAAATTCACCTCCCAAATGTTTGGAAGTTCCGCTAGATGAGCCCTGTAACCTGGGCCTAGCAACGGGTGCCAGAGAAGCCGGAGGGAACAGAGGGACCGGAGGGGACACAGGACACACTCGAAACACAGCCCTATCTCCTATACTGAACGCCCAGCCCTGAGCCCGGACTGCCGCCGTCCGCCCTGAGAATCCCACTCCCACCTCACAGCGGGACACAGGTTCAAGGGACCCAGGCAGGTCTCTGAGACAGGACTGTGCCGGGCATGTCCACGATCGGTTCAGAAACCCAGCAGTGCCTTACCCGCCGGTTCCCAGCCCACGAACCCTGCGTCCGGGAGGCGGATCCCTGCTCTGTTGCTCCGCTTTGCAGCCAGCTGGGCCAGCAGCCAGGCACTCCGGCGCAGGCCCCGCCTCCAATCTGGCCCCGCCTCCAAGGTTCAGGCCCCGCCCTCGCACTGCCAGTCTACCCCACCCCTGGCCTGGCTCTTCTCCACCCGTTCCCTTTCCTGCTCTGGCAGTTTAACACACCTTTTCTAGTTGGTCAGAGATTGGTTGGTGGGCTAAGGTGTAGGGTTTGTAACCAGCAAGCAGTAGGTGCTGACTAGATGTAGGCAGGTG